AGTAAATGAAAGAGAACTTGAAATTTACCTACGAGAGAAACAAACTTATAAGATTTTAAGCTGTTAATATTTCCGAACATTTGTTACAGCACTAGCATCACCTTAAATATAAGAATTTAATAATATTAGCATGATGTAAAGGGTGACAACTGTGAACATTCTTTTTAATGTGACTGAATAAATAAATTTGGTGCAAATAGGATGCACTACCATCAGAAAGTATGATGTAAAGAAATATTTATTGACTTGAAAACTTATTATGCTATACTAATAAATAGAAAAAATTAGGTTAGAAAACAAGATGTAACATAATCTCATTTCTGTAAAACTGTATATGTATGTATATACAGACTCTGAGAGCCATCTAGGAGGATGTTCACTAAATATTAACAGTGAGGATGGTGGAACTTCAGTGATTATTTCTTCTTCCACCTTGTATTTTTCAAGCTTGTTTGATTTTTTACAATATTTATGTTTTGTTTTTTATATAAAAACAATAAAGCTATTTCTTAACATTAATTGGATTATTTTTCCTCCAGTTGACCCTGTAATATCCCTTCTATTTCTCCTTAAGATCGTCTCCCCATTCTCTTCAATACTGAATTTCCTAAAATCATTACATCAAGCAAGTCAGAAAACCTATGGTTCAGAAGTCCCCCTCCCAAGATAATAATATTATCTAGGCTTACAGCTCATTTGAATTACTAGTATAATGTTGCCTTTTCACAGTACCTATATCACCTCATGAGAAGTTACTTGAATTTCCTAGTCTCTGCCCTCTATAACTACAGGGCATGGAGCAAGTCTTGTATGATAAAAGAGGTGGTGTGAGCTAATTCAGTGAAAGGCCTCTATCACAAAGCCCCTGGCATAACTTAAACAAGGAACCAGTGAGAAGGAAGAAGCAGATACAGTAGAGAGCCAAAGCCAGGCTCTGAAATGTTTCTCACATAGGCATGACTACTGGTGTGTCTATCCCTGAGCTAATTACCTTCCTCCTAGCCAGAGTGAAAGAATGACCCTCTTACTACACAGACCTCTCTGTTATCAGGAGCATGGAAAAGGTAACTGTGGTTAAAGTTCTCACCACTGGATTTAGGTCCTAGGACATATGCTAAATGGCTGCCACACAAATAATATAATACAGTTTTGAGCAGAGGTGTTTTGTGGCTAAGAATCAGTATAAATATGAACCCCAGAATGTAAGGAGTAATCAGATTCCCACTTCTCCATCATTTCTGACACCAGCTGCCCATGTGGCACCTTCTCTCTCTCTGACCCTAGCCACCCAGAGTTAGAACATATCTCATAAGTTAAAAGGACACCGTCCTGCTGGCCAAAGATTTTGGTCTTCCCACTACCCCTTCAGGATGCCAGTCACAAACTCTAAGGCCTTCCCTGGGTTCCCTCAATTACCTGCTGGCTCCCCCTACTCCTTTGTGTTTAATAATTCACAGGAATGAGTCACAGAACTCACAAAAAGTATTATACTTAGGATTACAGATTTATTATAGCAATAGGATACAAATCAGGATCATCATAAGGAGAGATGCATGGGTGAGGTCTGCGAGGGCTCCTAACTCAAAGTTTCTGTGTCCCAAAGAGGGCACGTCACCCTCCCTTTGCTGACCAGGAAGCTCTGTGAGCCTCCACGTTCAGGGCTTTTATCAGCCAGTCATGACTGATCCCTTATTGCATATGTATGATAGGCTAAATCATGCCTCCTAAGGTTAGTTGGAGGAAACCTCATGGCACAGTGGTTAAAGTGCTCCTCTGCTAACCAAAAAGTCAGTGGTTGGAACCCACCAGCTGCTCTGAGGAAGAAAGAAATGGCAGTCTCCTTTCGTAAAGATTTACAACCTTGGAAACCCTATGGGGAAGTTCTACTCTGTCCTATAGGGTCGCTATGAGTCGTAATCAACTCAGTGGCAGTGGGTTTGGTTTGGGTTAAGGTTAGTTGACATTGGCCTACCAGGTGAGTCTTTTCTGGTCTAGCAAACTCCATTATTAACACAAATCATCATGTGTGGTCTGGAAGTTTCAGATAAAGGCACTTCAATTACTACCAGGGTTACTTGAGAGAAACTAAGGACAAAGGTAAAAATTGTTTTCCATTACCACACAGATGTGGACCAGGGGAACTAGAGTTTTAGGAAAATTAATCTAACCATATTGTCCACAGTGATGAGAAAGAGGGTTTGAGAGGCTAGAGGCTGAAAATCTGTTTTAAAAGGCAACGGCAGTAATCCCAATATAAGTGATGAAGATGGAAAGAGAAAGGAAGCATCTTGTCCTTCAAGATACTAGGAGTTCACCCAGCCTCTGAGCCCCAACAGATCAACAGAGTCCATGCCCTAAGTGCAGGAAAATTGAAACCACTCAACTCTAGGTACATCGAACAGGGCAAATTTAATACAGGGAATTGTTTACAAAGGTATGGAAAGAACTGGAAGAGAATAAAGGAAAAGGAGAGGCAGGAGCAAAAAGGAAGGGATGATAGCCAGATATCTCAAGACATTTATGCTTCTGGGATGGATCCTTGAGCCAGTTCCTTCTGTTATGCCACTAAAGGAATTGTGTCATTTGGTTCTGGAGCTATATCATCCAGGACTGGAACCCCTAAAAGGGGCTACCTAAAACACTCCATCCCTAAGACTGCCACAGCAACTGCCTGCAACTACCACACTATGAAAACCAGAATCAGGAAGCTTTGCTCTTCTTTCTACCTCCTGGTCTCCCATCAGATCTCCTACTGGCAGAATTTAACAGAAAATGGGTTGGCAAGGGGGACAGGGATTTGTAGTTTTCAGAATCCCAGCCCCAGCAGTAAAAGCAAAGCACAGAAGGGTGGGTGAGGGGCCAAGAGACCACAGATAAATAACCAGCACCAAGCTCCACCCTTACTATTTCCTCACATGTGTTAACAAATGCTCGTTCCAGAGAGCACATGCAGGGTAGTGCTGGGGTGCAGGCGAAATTATAGCCCTTGGCCTCAAAGAAAGTTTTTCCATTCCAGAGAAAATTTAGAATTTGAGAAATAGCAAAATGCTCCCCTGACTCTCTGGTAATTGTATCATTGAAACTAACCTGCAACAGCCAAGGTGAAGTCAGGTAAAGCATACCCTGCACTCTTCCAGAAGGTGTCCACTACACTAATGAAAACATCTTTCTTTTGTTGACAGGGCTGCCGCTAGCACATATGGTACCGTTGTACAAATTTTTTCAAAGGTGCCTCCTCTGAACTCATGAACTATAAAAGATGCCCCCTCTGGGAGGATAAATCAGGAGAAGGTGTCCCCTCTGAGCTGATAAACGAGAAAGGGGCTGCCTTCCTCTGGGCTGACCGAGAGCCAGAACCCCGGCACACGTCAACCCCTCCCCCCTTGGCCAGGAGCCTTAGTGTGGGATGCCACCTGTACAGTTGTAGGCTGCAGCCCACCTATTTTAACCTGTGACTTTCTAATCCTGTTTGCATATATTATCTCCTGCAGTCCTCACAACAGTCCTGCAAAATACCCATTATTATTGTGCAGCTTATAGATGACAAGAAATTCAACGACTTGTTCCCAGCCGTATACCTAGTAAGGGCCAGAAGAGCTGGAAGAGATCTGCAAACTAATAATAGCTGCTCAATGACAATACCAGGAAACCCTGATGGCGTAGTGGTTAAGAATTCAGCCGCTAACCAAAAGGTCGGCAGTTCGAATCCACCAGGTGCTCCGTGGAAACCCTATGGGGCAATTCTACTCTGTCCTATAGGGTCACTATGAGTCGGAATCGACTTGACAGCAATGGGTTTCAACGGGTTTTAATGACAATACTGAGTGGCTACTGTGAGGCGGGTACTGTACATGTGTCTCCACACATGTAATCACAGTCAGTCCTCATAGCAGGTTGAGGTACTGTTATCTTCTTCACTTCACCAGCCGAGTTCTTGCAGCTCAGAGAACACGTGCACTGGGAGAGGCAAACGAGGCACCCGGGTCAGGGGAGGGCCTGGCCTGCGTGCACGAGAGAATGCTCAGCCTTCGAGCCACAGTCAATGGCAGCCTTTCATTTATTTATATTTTGTTCTAGCTATTGCCTCCCTCAGAGGAAGCTCAAACACAGTCAGATCTGACAGAACAATGAGACTGACTAGGACTACAGAAGCTAGGATTTCCTGTGGATTTTTCTGCTGGTGAAACAAAAAGCCCTTAGACTCTGGCTCCTCCAGGCTCCAGGGGAACAACACTGGCATTATCTTTGCACTGAAGGCTCTTTGACTCCTACACTCACTAGAGCCAATGCTGAAAGAACACCCCAAAGGATTAGCCAAGGGGTTTGCCAAGTCCCCAGATTTACAGAATTCTTACTTGCTGGAAGTAGCTCACAAGTGACAGCTCCAAGAAACGTAAAGAAGCCAGCGAGGGAAAGCACCAAGCCAAATCCCTCCTCTGCCCCTTTTGTTGCACTTTTGCTGGGTACATTTTCATAATGATTTTATTAAATAAATTTTAACTGTGACTATTCCCTCCCTGGAGCCAAAACAACTGAGACGCCAAAGGAAAAGGAAAACTATCTGTGTTTAGAGAGAGAGGCAAACGCAGGAGTCCTGCTGAGCTGAACTTACTTTGTGATTAGAATGCCCTCTTTGGGTGTGAAATTACACCGCCAGAGTGGTGAATTTTCTGAGACAGGAGAGGCAAACTACTAGAGGGATTCCTAGAAAACAGAGCTAAACAGTGTCCTAATGAAGAATTTCAGAGCTTTTTCCTATAGTTGAAGACTCTTACAAAGACAAAATCAAGACCCAATTACACATTGAAAAAGCAAAGATTTATTGGGCCTTCAACTAGAATTCCCTGAGCAAAGCTAACTCAGATATTCTATGTTACACAGCCTTCACTTTCCAAAATATATTTGGTAGCAACCACCCAAGTTAAGCCTTCTCATCACAAACGAGACCAAAGACACTCAGAGCCCAGGACTGCATCACATGTACCGAAGGAATTGCTCACCTTGATTACCATTGGTGGCTGGCACATAAGGGCACCTTGGCAGTTCCAACCCTTTCCCCTTCAGGCCTGTCAATAGGGCAATAGTAGTTCGGCTCTCCCACTAGGCCAACAGGGTCTCTGGAGCCTGGGCAGAGTACAGGTTCAGGTATCATTTACCCTCCAGCTGCAAAATGGGGCATCAAAGGATGAATCCAAGAGACAGTATCCAGGGAAGCAGCACAGCATCTGGAAGCTGAGTACGGAAGGCAGCCTCACTCAGAGCTTCCTTCCAAGGCCGCTTTGTAGAGGAGGCAGTTTTGTGGACGAGTCAGCTTTGTAGAGGAGTCAGCCTGCACTCTTGCTCCAGGAACAGTGATTAGCTGGGGGTGAGCACCACACCCTCTGTGACGCCTTGTTCTCATCTTCCCTGCAGCACCTCTGTGACCCTCTGCCCACCCTTACTCACAGAGGGTCTTTGGTTCAGTGATGACAGGCAGCACGTCAGCGGCCGATCTCCAGAAACAATAGAGACAAACAAAATGAAGGGAACTGACGCTCAAAAGAATGAAACCAGTTGCTGTCCAGTGGATTCTGACTCATGGAGGACCCAAGTGATACTAAGAACCTGAAATGGAGGAGGAGGAAGAGGGGAAAGTAAAGGACGATGAGAAGAAAAATAACAAAAACAACATTAAATGTAAGTCCATGATCGCTCATATACACTTCCAAAATTCAAATCTCTGAGAACGACAAGCATCCTGTAACTCTGCTGGCGAACAATCCGACCTGACTGAACTTGTATAGTGGCAAACCCTCACCTCACTGATATGGAGCTATTTATAGTCTTTCTTTATCCCACTACATGGGAACAAGCATCTCTTTTGCTGGAGAAACACTAATGTGATTCAGATAAAGGATTGTGGACCTGTATTAGGATGTGAGGAAGCTCTAGTCACTGGACAAGCTATTAGGGAAGCTAAGATTATAAGCAGGACTGATGTTAGGAACAGAGACCACCCTGAGACTCCTTGAAAGAAAGGCCTGGAGAATTACTTCTGAAAAATCAGCCTAGGGAGCACAGTTCTACTCGGACACACACGGGGTCACCTTAAGTTGTGTCAAAGAGTAAAAATGCATACTCTGTTAAAATAAAAGTAAAGAGATTTATTGGAGGCTAGAAACAGTTCAAACCAGGGACATGTCAGATCTCACAAAGTGCAACAAAACACTCCAAGGAACTGAAGGTGAATAGGTGTATTTATATAGTGGAATCAGGGACTTACAATGCAATTTTTCTGATTGGATTTCAAGCATTTAGGGAAGTGGGAGGTGGGATTATTCAAAGCAGGGATCTTAAGGCAATTGGCTTAAGGGAGATATGTGGGCTTTTTAGATTAGTAATTATTGAAAATTGCAGAGGTACGTGACTATAGAGGGTTTACAGAGTGGTCACAAGGTAATCACAGGACATTCCTTCTGAAGACATTCTGTTAAAATAGCTTTCTCAAGCAAAGCATTTCCTGGAGGTAGCTTGCGCAGGTGACTTCTTATAAGCCATTTGCGTGAAGACCCTCTGGGAAAGTTATGTGACATCCCTTCTTAGCTCAATCACAGAGAACAACATTTCCTTAGCTGCATGATTAAGTCTGTTCAAAGGTTAATGGTTGCTGGGGAAGCAAGCACCATCTTAAGACGGAGTCAGGGCTCAGACGCAGGTTAGTCACTTTGACAGAACCAAACACCTCAATTATGGCGCTCTGACACTGCTGGAATCCATTCAACAGCAACAGGTATTGGATGTTAGCGACACTACTGGCAAGTTTAGAAAAAAAGCAATTCTTTACACCCAAATATTATGGATTGTGAAGATTTTTGATACAAATGATCATAAAAGATCTTTATCACAACTCTATGAATTGAGGGCCTGATATCATTATCCCCATTTCCACAAGTGAGGACGTTGAGGTGCAGAGAGATTCAATGGCTCTCGCACAGTCTTGACTCCCAGTCTAGTGTTCTTTCCACCATGCCACTCAACCAATTATGGTTAACCATTAATTACCCACAACAATATCAAGTAAGCTTAAGTATTTTTATTACAATTTGAATTAAAGTTGCCTTTGAAACATATTTCTGTGCTAATATTAAAAGATGCATTGGTCTGATTTTCAGAAATTCACAATACTTCATGATAAGTAATGAAACTCGTGGAGACAGAACGTGGGAGGAGTTGGGAACAGTAGTGGCGTCAAGGATTGGCTTTGGGGGTGCTGCAGCCCCCCATATGTTTCATCAGTCCCTAAAGCCACTCTAAATTAAAATAATGATAATATGCTTTGTTATGGGCAACAGATATTTTTCTCTTACGAAATGTGTGAATGGAAGCACCTTTAGAAATTTTTGCAACTTTTATTAATCTTGAACATGCAATCTATATAAAAAGAGTGTGCTTGCATGCAAAAGCAACTTTAACGTAAGTGCCCTATTCTCCCCTTTCTAGCTCACTTGCTGCCCTAAGCCTCTCCACATACCATGGCAGGAGCCACCACTGGTTGGGAAGCAATTCTACCTACTTCCCCCATGCCACGGTGGCTACATTACATATGTTATTTTCAATCAATTCAATTCAATAAGTCTTTATTCCTACTGTGGGTCGAACACAAATGATAAAAAGATAAATAAGACAAGTCCTGCCTCAAGAATTTCAGACCAGATTAATGTTCAGACATATTCAAAAGACTTGGTTTCTCTCCACTAAATTCCTGGTTATCTCAAACCTTCCTTCACTCTAATTTGATTAATAAGTATCCATTTACTGGGAAAAGCCATCAGCTAATTTGGATCCAAAAACCAAAACAAAACCCGTTGCCTTCGAGTCAATTCCGACCAATAGTGATGCTATAGAACAGAGTAGAACTGCCCCATAAGGTTTCCAAGGAGGGACTGGTGGATTCGAACTGCTGACCTTTTGGTTAGCAGCAGAGCTTTTAACCACTACGCCACCAGGGTTCCCTAATTTGGATAGGATATGGTATAAAAGAATCTTTTGTTGATTAAAAAGCAGAGTAAATTTTAAGAGCAATGTCTGTGTAAATTCATACCAAGATCAGCCTAAGGTAAAGTAACCCCCTTGGGACATCTCATTTTATTTCCACTGAGCCCTAGTCTGCTTCTGGGAAATGGAAATAATAAGGGTAATATCAATACCTTTTGTTATAGATCACCTTATGCATTTCAAAAAATATTAATATACAATAAATACTTGAATGAATGTACTTAGATAATCATAAATCATAAATCACGAAAATACAACAGTTGGATTAAAATGATTGAATTTGTTAATTTTTCCATACAAAGTACTATTTAAGTCAAGTAAAGAAAGCTACAAGGAGCCCTGGTAGAGTAACGGTTAAGCGCTTGGCTGCTAACTGAAAAGCTGCTAGTTCGCACTCACCCAGCAACTCGACGGGAGAAAGACCTGTTAAAACCCTATGGGGCAGTTCTATTCTGTAACACATGGGGTCGTTATGAGTTCAATCGACTCGACAGCACCTAACAACAGGAAAGAAAGCTACACAAAATCTTCATAATTGAGAGGGACTTCAGAGCTCATCCTACAATTCCCACTCTGATGAACAGGCTGGCTAGAGCATGAGATCATCAGTGTGGATCAGTGTGGGGCACTCCCCTTCATGGAGCCCAGACAACTGTAAGCTCCACCCGGCCTGGGAAACTTGTGTCCTGCACAACAGAGCCACCAAAGGAAGAGAAGGTGGATAAAATTACCCAAATGCAACACCACAGCCAGGAAAGTTACTCAAAGAGTGTGCCTTAGAGATGGAGAGATAGTATATGTTCTTCCTGGACGAAGGGCAGCACATTTTATGAACATTTATAAGTGTAGAAATCATACTTGAGTAAATTATCTTCAAAATGATCATGCCCAGAAGTAAATACTGCAGTAGATAAATTATAAATTAAAGGATTCCTTCTCTCTTCCTCCACCTATCCATCCATCCATCCTATAAAATATACACTGGGCATCTACTGCATGCCCAATTACTCTGATGAAACAACAGTCACACACTTCATGAGAATTCTCTCTTCCCCACTGTATTACAGACTTCTCAAGGGTATGGACAACATTACACATATTTCTTTACCTTGAAGAGCTAGCATGGTATTTGGCTATATAGTTTATGTGTCTTGATAAACATTTGAACTGAACTGAACTTCTGGAATTCTTCACTGGTTTCAAATAATATAAAAATTACAGACTTGGTTAATCTATAAACTAGAATATTCGATGTGAAATATAATAAATAATTTAATTCAACTCAGTAAGAATAGACTAACCATGAGTGCACTGCCTAAATGAGGGGGTGAGGAGACAAACCAGACACCTTCCTTGTCCTGAAGGAATTTACATTTGAGTCATAAAAACAGGTTATATTAATAACAAACTACAACAGAAGAAGAAGGAATGAGGAGATCATGGACCAGGAAAGGTGGGGAAATATTACTGGCTAGATCTTAAATAAAGAATAATATTTTGATGTGTGGCGATCACGGGCAAGGCGGGTGGCTTTCAATATATTCTTCGTGGGCAGAATAATGTGTACAGTAAAAGGGCCAGAGTGTCAGTTTCAAGTATTTGAGGGCTAGCTTATCGAAAGTCTGCAAAGTGATACAAAGAATTTACTCGTGGGGTGATAATGAATCTCTGGAAGCCTTTGTACAGAGGAACAATAACCTATCATACTGGTGCTTTGGCAAGTTTACACTGGCAGCGATGTGCAGGCCTGATTGCAAGATACTGAGCTGAGAAATACCGATTAAGTAGACCACTGGGACGACATAAGGAAGGTCTAAATTACCTTCTGAAGAGGCATCCTATGAGTGGCTATTTAAGCTCTAAACTTATCAAAAAGGCTTGCCTGAAATCACTTAGAAAGAACATGAAGTGTACTTAGATCTTCCCTACTAGGCTGCATGGTCCTTGAGGGCAATCTAATACATCTTTCAACACCCTGCTGCACACAACACAGTGCCTTGTATATCAAACCCACTGCTGTCGAGTTGATTCCAACACAGAGACCCTATAGGACAGAGTAGAACTGTCCCATAGGGTTTCCAAGGCTGTAAATCTTTACGGAAGCAAACTGCCACGTCTCTCTCCCACTGAGGGGCTGGTGGGTTCGAACCGCCGACCTTTCGGTTAGCAGATCAGCGCTTTAACCACTGTG